ATTATACTCCCTATTTACTGTCTTCAATTAAAATAATGAGCTCCTGGATGCTCCAAACTATATTTCATCAATCAATAGGTAATTATTAATCACCCTCTTGTTACTAATAAATCATTTTCAGTTTCAGGCTTAAGCCAGTGAGTGAGAAGAGCACTTTACTTTCCAGTCAGAAAATAGGGGGGGTCAGTTCTTTCCTCTGTCGGCGAAGAGAGTTAAGAATCTATTGTTAACTGTGCTGCGTAACAAGTGGCCCCAAACTCAAGCAGCTTAATCTAACAAACATTTATTTTCTCACAAAGTTTCTGAGGGCCAACCATCAGGCGCTGCTCAGCCTGGTGATCCTGGCGTGGGGTCTCCCACCAGGTTGCAGTGCAGTTGTAGGTCAGGTGGCGCCACCTGAAGAGGCTGGGGCATCTGCTTCCAAGATGATGCACAGGCTGTTGGCCAAACACTGCTTCCGTTCCTCACCATGTGGGTCTGTCCACAGAGCCGTTCTCCGAACATGGGAGCTGGCTTCCCCCAGCTCAAGAAACAGAGAAAACCCAGGACAGAAGCCAAGAGAGAGGGAGAGAGAGAGAGAGAGAGAGAGAGAGGGAGAGAGAGAGAGAGAGAGGAAAGTGGCATGCTCTCCCTTCTGCTATATTCTGTTCATTGCAAGAAAGTGACTAAGTCCAGCCCACACTCAAGGGCCCGAATTCTGTTTCACTTCTTAAAGGAAGGAATAGCATATGACTTGAGGGCCTATTTTTAAAATCACACCTATGAACATTTTTTTTCTCAGACACAGCAAGCAACAAATATGCTTCAACTCTGTCTCACCCCTTTCTTCCGCATTGTGTCCCAGTTGTCCCTTGGGGCTAGATATGGTAAGGCTTTATTTGTGTCCTTCATAATGTAAACCAGAAAATTGTATGCTGCAACCCGGCCCTGGAAAATACCTAAAAAGGTGATGTTTTCACATTTTTCATTTCAATGCTGAGCACATGGGAAAGGTATAAGGCAATATTTTGGTACTAATATGGTTATGGATAAGCCCTAATATTTTTGAAACCTTTAATTAGAATATAAAAAGTGTTATTGTATTCTTCTTTTAATTTTTACATGCATAACAGCAATAAAGTAACGTAAATCTAGATTCATATAATGAGAGGTTTTTTATGTCATGATATATGCATTATAACATTAGTATTAAATCCAGGTTTATGTGACATAAAAGAGTTAGCAATTATCATGAATTTATATAAGCAAACAAAATAACGGCTTAAAAACAGAATTCATATAATTTAGAATTTTAAATAGGAAATGGAGGCTCATTCTTGAACGTCAACACATTAATTTCCCCTGCTTTACTGTCAACCAGTATCATGCTCTAAAATCTTAATGAATGTCATGGGAGCCTAATCAAATTTACAGAACATATTTTTACCAAATATATAGCCGTATATTGTATACAGTGTTCACAAGTGCATATTTTATGCATTGCTCACTTTGCCACAAGATCACCAACTCTGTATCTCTCCACACCCTGTCAGAGTGGACAGTGGTTGATTTTTCTCTCCATGGAGAGGTACATAGTGATCAGTATCTCGAAAGGATCGGTGGATTCCATCTTTGGGCTTCCTTCCGCAAGGAGCTCAGAAAGCAAGGACGAGAGCCAGGCTTCTTCGCAAGGCTACTGCCAGTTCAGACTGGTCGGAAGCCACCGTCAGAAAACGCTTCCAATTCCGTTTCGCCATCGAAGGTGGCTCAGAGCACACACCAACTGCTGCCTGACCCGGCTTTCCTGATAAATGGAATCTCCTCACTCTCTCTTTCATAAAACAAAATTGAGGGAAATTGAGGATCTTTTTCTGAATGACTTTTCCTGTTCTAACATGCTCCTTCGTAGTTCATTGAGAATATGTCCGTTCTCTGCCAAAGCTCTTGCAATATTTGTTTGGGGCTAAGCAGCAGCTCAGTTTATGTCAATGGCTCGAAATTCCGTCATGGCAAGTAAATCCAGTGCATTTGTGTCCCTTTCTGTTTCCCTACCCCTTCCTCCCTCACCCCACCGCACCTTCTCTAAATCCGGGGCCAGAGGGCAGGAATGTGACCATTTTAAGAATAAATGATATGCGTATCCTTTGTGTGTGTCTCTTCCATTGCTGGTTTATTTTTCTCTTCTCCCACTAATTAGTAAGTTCCTGGAAGTCTTAGTCACTTCTTCATTTTTGCCACTAAATTTTTCCGAGTTCACTTTATTGAATTATTTTCAATAATATTTATTGAGTGATCACTGTCTGCTGGCATATTATTACTGGGTTTCTATCATACCCACTTTCCAAAAATAGTTGTCATCACTGCCAATTCTTTCTCAGCCATCTTTCTTGGCATCTTAAATATTTTCTCTATATCTTATTGATCATTTTTAAAAATATATTTTTATTGATTTCAGAGAGAAAGGAAGAGAGAGAGAGAGAGAGGGAGAGAGAGAGAAACATCAATGATGAGAGAGAATCATTGATCGGCTGCCTCCTGCACACCCCCCACTGGGGATCCCGAAATCTGGGCATGTGCCCTTGACCAGAATCGAACCTGGGACCCTTCAGTCCGCAGGCTGACGCTCTAACCACTGAGCAAACCGGCTAGGGCTATTGATCATTTTTTCTATGTATGTTCCATCATAATGTATGTGGGTATATGTGACTTTTACTGGATGCTGTTCTTTTCTCAAGAATTCCTTCATGGTTTTTTCCCTTTCCTGGTTCTTTTTCCAGAGGACTATAGATTTCCCCAAAAATATCTTTTTTGAGATACTATTCTTTCTTAGTTGATACTTAAGGAACTTCTCTACTTCAGCAGCTGCAGTTAATATTTGCATATGGACTAATTTAAGGCCTTTGTAGCTACCTCAAGCTAGAATGCAGAAACTGCATAAGCGGGACTGAATGTCCACAGCCGCTGCTGCTCCTGTGAGGTGTGCATGTGGGAAATGTTACCATTCAGTTCCCTTTGGTTGATGAGCTCCCCTTGCAGTACCTCCCACATGTTGAAGATCTGCCACTTGAAAAAGTTACCTTCCCTTTAGGGCAGCGGTTCTCAACCTGTGGGTCACGACCCCTTTGGCGGTCGAACGACCCTTTCACAGGGGTCGCCTAAGACCATCCTGCATATCAGATATTTACATTACAATTCATAACAGTAGCAACATTACAGGTATGAAGTAGCAACGAAAATAATTTTATGGTTGGGTCACAACATGAGGAACTGTATTTAAAGGGCCAGAAGGTTGAGAACCACTGCTTTAGGGTGTTCCTCTAAAACTCACCTTTCTTTTATTTGCCTTTTGTTGCATTTGTGGATACCACAATAATTGTGTAATACATAGACTAAGATGTCCTTATGTCTTAATGAGTATATTAAGATAAAGAATACCTTCCCCTCATTGGCTGTCAGAGTTGGCAGAAAAATATTTTAACATTATATTGAAACTATTAAAATATTTTCTGTAAATATATGTTAAAATATTATAGAAGATAAAATGAATATTGCCAAATTTTCTCTTCAAAAGTGATGTTATTCTTCAATCCAATAGCCTAAATTATTGGGTATGCCCATAAACGAATTCCAGGTAATGTATTGAAGCATTTAGAACGCTTAAATATTTATAGTTTTTAAGGTTTTATTTTCTTCCTAAATTAACTAATTAACCAAGAATAGAGACTTCATATTACTGTAAACGAACTTACATTAATACCTATGTGTTGCTTATTATAATGCATAGTGAAGATAATTATAATAAACCACATGCAACCCCAGGTAACGTCTTAAAAAGTGTTATTTGTAAGTAAACTGTTTTATTGAAATATGCATATAGAAAAGTGTACAAGTTATACATGAACCGTTTGATGCAGTTTCACAAAGGATCCCTTACATACAACCAGTACCCAGATCAGTAATAGAACATACAACAGCTATATTTTGCGACATGTTTTATTCTGTTATGAAGAAACGTTTGATATGACATTTTTGGTGTTTATTATTCTACAAAACACACTAAAAAATCAACATAAACAATTATCCACACTATCAAAATCCAAACGAGGTTTCAGTGACAGAATATATTACATGTAAATTTCATATGGATTTTACCATTCATTTGTATAAAGTTTACTTCTTTGAAAATAACCTGATTATAACATTTCTGCTTGGCGTGACCGTGCTAACTGGAAGGACAAATGTCTTGATTGAACTTCTGTGCTTTTTGTTTGGTTGGTGTTATATTAAACTTCCAAAAGGTGTGGAATGCCTTCTCCTCCTCCTCCCCCCTCCTCCCCTCCCCGAAGTCTCCCTTTTTCCAAATAGACTCAGTGTTAAACGTTGCATCCACTGTACTTTGCTGCAGTGCGATGTTTCCATGTCACGCAGTCAGAGGGAGGTAGATTAATAGGGACTTCTAGCTGGAAATTTCTTCCTGTTATTGTTCTCCCTCAGCAGTTGATAGCTAAGTTAATTCTCTTTAGTTTTGTCACGCTCCGAAGCACACATCGCCAAGCCATGGTAAGCTTTATGAGGAAGGAAAGAAGCAGCGGTGTCCATCAAAGTCTCCAAGTTGCATTTTTAAACTTTGGCTTGACCTGATGTGCCATTCAAAACAGCTTTAGAAGATTTTTTTTTTTTTAAAGAAAGGTTCAATATGTCCCGAGGCTATCGGTTTTGAGTTAAACTGGGTGAAGGAGAAATATTTTACTCATCAGCTTTGCAGTCACAGAGTTTGCCTCCGCTAGAACAAAACTGCTGAGGCATTTAGAGAAAATTAACCCCCCATCCTGGCGGCCAGATGTGACTGGTTTCTGATGAGTGCACATGAGTGGGCTGAAAAGCCAAGAGACTGTGAAATTCCTGTCGGGTCCGCCCGGTGCAGAGTGGGCTATTGACTGCTTTCTATATTTCCCTCCATCATTCTTCTTGAACACTGCCATTAATTTCCTCTCCGGGTCTGACTTGTGTTCCTCCCCCGCCCCCTTCCCTTCAGCTCTGTCAGCTGCAGAGGCAGATACACAAGAGGTGGCAGAAGTACCTCCGGCTGGTGGTCCTGTACAGCCGGGTGCGGCTGGCCCAGTTCCAGGCGGAATCTCAGGAGAGCATTCAGAAGATCTTAGCTGTGCAGGTAGGTGATTGCAGGCCAGGAGGCAAGATCGCCTCGATCTAGATTGAAAAGTAAACGATGGGTAGTGTGATGAAGCACTGACACCACCTCCCACCAGAGTTTTATACATTTCTAACCTCTTTAATAAGCCACGATGGCATGAAGGATGAATTCAGTAAGTCAGCGTATACACCATGCACACTGGGGGCGTGGAGGAGAATGAACTGATTTGTCACAAACCTCGGGATAAGTTTTAATAAATATCTTTGGTGTAACTATACATGTTCAAATCCCCAGGCTTTGCACATGGGCCTCGGCTGTTTAAAAGATACCATCCATAGTGGCCTTGTGTTGTTCCTTTGGTGTGGAATCTGCAGTGAAAATGACACTCGCGTTTACTTAATGTTTTCTTTCCCCTTCCATTTTGCAAGAGGCTTGTTCCTCTAGGATCTGGAGATGACTGACTCTATGTGAGAAATAAGCGATTTGGCATTAGAATATAAATGTGGTTCCAGGTGCTGTGAAATGTTACTATCTGTCCGTCCCAGTAAAAACTTTCAGTGGCTCAATTGTCTTAAAATTAAGACTCTGATCTATTTTAGACTCTGATCTATATTGACTATGTGAAGACTATTTTATTAAAGTTACTTAAATATTTTCAAATTAATATTTTACTCTTGGAAATGTTACAGTATTATAAAACATGGCCTCCCAAAGCAAAACCCATATCACCTTGTTCTATTAAAAAGCAAAAAAACTTTTTTTTGAGGAAACGCCATACTGTTTTCCACAGTGGCTGCACCAGTCTGCATTCCCACCAGCAGTGCACCAGGGTTCCTTTTTCTCCGCATCCTCACCAGCACTTGTCGTTTGTTGATTTGTTGATGAT